ATGTTGCTCAGTGGGGGTTGTTTTGCTTGCTGAGCGCCACAGCAGCCCCTAAGGAGGCCACAGTAAAGATAAAGATGTGTATTCAGTCTCTCGCTGGTCTGATCTACACCAAGTCTCCAGATCGTACTCGTCTTTATTCCACCATGTCACTTTACTGTCAGTCATCTTGTAAAAGGTCTCTGAATTTTACAGTAATGAGAAAAAACCGGTACACCATATGAAGTGAAGCCTTAACTTTAAATTATTTGTTTAACAGCACTTAAAAAAGAAAATAAAACTGGATAAAAAAATATACAAGTTAACAGAAAAAAATTCACTAAGGCTTTTCATGAGATCATGCCTCGGATGCATTTACCATTTTGTTTTGGATCGTTGTCATGTCAATGAAAATCCACTCTGCTGTGGCTTTAATTACCTTACAGATGGTCTCACATTTTCCTCAGCATCTGCCGATACGAGGCAGTTTTAATGATAGATCAAATGTTGGTAAATCTGGCCAAGTTCAGATGCAGCAAAGCAGGCTCCGTAAAAGCATTTTGTTAAGCTAAAAAAATCTCTCTGTAATAATCTAGTGTAAAATTAATCAATCTCTTGTCTCATCTGTCCTCTCTTGGAAAAAAAAAACCTTTATATTTTTTTCTTAAACTAAACATGGTGTCCTCTCAATTTAACTTGAGCACCTTAATAACTGTTTAAGGGTCAAACAGGGCAGGGCTCCTTCATATTGCTGTGTAATAAGGTTTTCCTCATGTGCCGCACATTGAAGATATATATATATATATATATATAGATATATATATATATATATATATATATATATATATATATATATATATATATATATATATATATATATATAGCTATATGTGTGGATGCTGATATAATGCAACTAATAGACCTACTTTACATCAGTAAAAATCATAAAATAAAAAGCAGAAAGTGATCTCTGTATTGTAAATAACACATTATATTGTGATAGTGGCTGTTTTAATACTAAACACACAGTTGTATAATAAGAATCACAAGCTTTACATCACAGTTTGGAAAGTGCTCTAACACAAATGCTCATCTTCCTTCTGCATGAATAGCTTTTAGTTTTGTGCCAAAAGATGAAAATTGTAACTTTGTTCAGAAGCCACTGCAGCCAATAAACCTAGATAAGTGCTTAAACATCTCTGTGCTTGTCTAAAGAGGAAAAGGGGATCGCAAATAGAGCTGTCAGTCGCTTGTTCCGAGTATTGATTTCTTTCTGACGCATTGCTGTTCAAGTTTGATGTGTCTGAGATACGGTGGCAGGAGGAGAAGAGGCTGATGGCTGATGCTGGAGCGCTGGTAGGTGAAGATAGAGAGGAGAGGTGAGTGTGAATACATGATAAATGCACTATAAATCCGTTCTCATTTGAAGTTTTATTCTCATCATGACCACAGATTTTTTACGCTTTGAATTTTTACTTGAACCATTTTATTATGAGCTTGGAATGATGATACAGCATACATAAAGAAACTACTATTTGAAAACAAATAGGGTGTACAAAGTGATACTCAAACTCAGAGTCAGAAATAAGGAGGTAGAGATAGATTTCTGCTTCGTTTATCCATTGAAACTAAACTATCTCTCAAGTTTAAGGAAAAATAGGTAAATGATTCATAAGGAAGTGAAGTTTACCCAGTGTTACTGGTCTTTGTGAAGGTAGTTGTAATAATCTCTATTAGGTAATAATCTTTGGACTAAAGGAAAGGAGATCCAGATTTAGCTCACAGCTTCAGCTACTACAGCTAGAAACCACTAATTATGGCCAAAATCACGATGTACTTAGACCTGAACCTTCAGAGGCTCATAAAGGCAGCTATTGAGTCAGCCTTTTACGACCGGAAGAACATTTCCAGAATTAAAGACAAATGTTTAAGCAGAAAAACTCATTTATGCATCTTTATTAGACTTAATTATTGCAACAGTATCTTCATACGTTTACCTAAAAAGTCCATCAGAAAGCTGCAGCTGATCCAAAGCGCTGCTGCTCATGTTCTCACTAGAACTAAGAAAGGAGAACACATCAGCATGGTTATGAAGTCATTCCAAAGGCTCCCTGTTGCTCAGAGACTATACTTTAAAATCCAAATCCCAATCTGTTTGTCTATAACTCACTGAATGGCACCTATGTTTACCTTACAGATTTGTTGTCAGTGTATTAACCTTCCAGACCACTCAGGGATTCTAGATCCAGTCTTCTCTGCACACCCAGAACTAGAACCAAACATGGAGAAGCAGCATTCAGTTGCTATGCTCCACTGATCTGGAACCAACATCCAGAAGACTCTAAAAGTGCTGAAAGCCTGCATTCTTTTCTCAAAGTTAAAATCCCTTTTGTTTAGAGCTGCCTTTGAGTTAAACTGTTAACTACAGGTAGGTACAATTAGTTAAAGGTTCGGGTCCGACTGTTTTATTTGTTTTACCAGATGCTTTCATCATGCTTTTATCTGTACTTGCTTTTATTTTTCTTCTATTTTATAGTTTAAATCATGTACCTCACTTTAAATGGTCTTTTTACTGAATTGTGCTATATAAATAGACCTGCCTTGCCTACATGAAATTAGACAGAGAGGAATATTTGCAGGAGACAATGTTTGAAAGCTAATAAGGTAACACCTGACCAGTATGAGGATGAAAGCATCTGCATGAAGGGCTAATACAATGCCAGCGGTGCTGGTAAATTCATTAAAGTGGATCAATGAATGCTTCAGACAACAAATTCCACTTTTCTCCCCATCAGAATTGAAATCTTAATGCTGGATAGAAAATTATAGCCACCCACACAGATGAGCCAAAAGGGTCTGGATAAATATTTTATTGCTAGACAAGTCAAAAATTGGGCTGTCCTACCACAATTAGAAGTGTGGTAGGACCGGTGGTATCTTTGCTTCTGTCACCTTGAACCCCAGTCGGCCTCGGCAGATGGCCGCTCACACTGAGGATGGTTCTGCTGGAGTTTTCTTCCTGTTAAAGGGGAATTTTTCCTCTCCACTGTCGCTATACAAATGCTTAGTATGAGGGATTACCTTCAAGTCAGTGAGTCGATGCAATCAACTGATTTTCCTTAGATAGAAAACTTTGAATCAATTTGACTGTATGATCTAGTGAACAGTAAATTGCCTTGAGATGACACTTGTTGTGAATTGGCACTATATAAATAAACTGAATTGTAGTGGTGGTGGCATCACTGGAATGAGATTTTTCCTCCGGTACTACAGCTGGATTGCATTAATTAATATGAGGACTACATCAATCTTTACCTCAAATAGCTAGATGATTATTGAAACCTGGAAACAGCAGAGTTCCTGCATGTCAGTGATCCAAAACACACAATAAAACAGGTTTAAAGTAAAGCAGAACTATATTAATCTTTTATTAAGCCAAGATTTCTATCCTGACAAAAATATATTGAAAAGTATTAATACAGATTAGCTCTACCATTTAATCTAATGGGAAAAGTGTTTGGTTTAGCTGCAACTTACCACAGGAAATCAAACCAAAAATTATTGGAGGACTTTATTTTTTGAACTACATATACCTACATTTCAACTATGTGTAAATAAAAATTGGAGCAGCACATCATCATGAAAACTATTGCAATATATCTATAGAATATTGCAACAATGTTAATCATAGATACGGTGAAGAAAATAATTATTTAAACACCCTGCTATTCTGCAGGTTATCCCACTTCAATCATGGAGGGTCTGAAATTGTTGTAGTAGGTGCATTTGCGCTGTGAGAGACATATAAATAAATAAAAAATCCAGAAATTACAATGTGATTATTTTTAACTGTTTATTTGTATGATACAGCTTCAAATAAGTATTTGAAAACCTGTCTATCAGCTAAAATTTTGACCCTCAAAGACCTGTTAGTCTGCCTTCAAAATGTCCACCTCCATTTATTATCCTAAATTAGATGCACCTGTTTGAGTTCGTTAGCTGTATAAAAACACCTGTCTACCTCATGCAATCACAGCAGACATGCACCTATGACAATTTCATACCCCTCCATTATTTCTAGGTGAACTTGCAAACATAGCAGGACGTTAAAATACTTATTTTCCTCACTGCAGCATGAATTTAGTCTTTTCCATCATAATTTTACCATTGTGGTCTGTGAGCTTTAGCATCTCAGACCCTAAAGCTGCACATACAATGCTGTAAGTCCAGCTGGTCCACTAAATGGACGGCATACAGGGTAAGAATGCACAAATATCCAAACACATTTCCCCTTTTGCAAATACTGACACTGCAATGATTGAGATTTGATACACTGTGCAGTTCTAATCAGGATCCGAATTGCATCCTTTGCTATCTGGAGTATTTTTTATTTTTTTTTATGTTTTATAAAGAATATTCTTTTTTTATTTTTAAGGAAAAGTCAGGCAAAACATTTTTCCATTTTCCATTTGATCTTTTCCTTCCTTTTCTTCTTGCTTTGATACAGCACACGGTGATGTTTCGTCACAGCAAATCTGCCACAGACTTAGTTTGAATGTAGGAAAATATATTTGTAACTAAAGGAAAAACAGAATCGATTATGGATAAAATACCAAGTGGAATGCACCATTTTTAATGGAAAAATATGCGTTAAGAGTGTGATTGAGAGAATGAAAAAACAGGGCTAACAGTGGTCCGTCTGGGTATGAAAGACCACCCTAGCCATCATCTTCTGAAAGCCTGTTATTTGTCACAGCAGCGCTGAGAGCTGAGCACTAACATTAGCATGTTAACATAGCGATCTTCACAAGTTGAAGTTTACTTTGTAAATATGAACCCTTTTCACTATCATTATGTGCTGCAGTGTTGATTAGAGCTTTCAGTGACGCACACAGGACCTCCTAGGAATACCCTTCTGTAGGGATTGGGTTTGCCACGAATTGTTTTTTTGCCCTAAATTGTTGATATTTGAAATAAAAAGTGATTAAATCATTATAATCTGCGAAACAAAGTAAAAAACATTCTTTGTTTTCTTTGCTTTTATTAAAAAACATATTGAAGGTCATGTGTGGGTAAAGCATTTTAAACATCCATTTGAACACATTGTTTACCTGAGCAATGTGTTTTTAGAAATAGATTAAAATTAAGCATCGGTTCTTCTACCTAAGGTGCAATCATGAGTTTAACATTTCTTTTAAAGACCAGAATCATTTCAATTTCTATGAGTATTTTTAACATTGACGAATCTGGTTTTCTTAATAAATAAAATGCTTTATCTAATCTTGACAAACTATTTTCATTGTTTGTTGTTCTTTTGTAGCCGTTCTCTCACTATTGCTTCAAGAGAAAACAGATGCCTGTCTGGATCCTCAGGCATGGTAGACCTCACTGCTTCAGCCAGCTGGAACAGGTACTCTGTGTTTTTACCACTCGGACCAGTGGATTTCAGGATCTGACTGGCTATTTCCTCCAAGGGAGCAGGGCCGAGGTAGTTTGGGTTGTCCTCGTTGCCGATGTACAGCAACGTCGGGCTCGGCGAGTGGTTGGACTGAGGACGGGGGTAGAAGGTCACCGTGATGACCTGGTAGCCGCCTTTTTCGCGGTAGTCGAGGTAGCTTTTTACCTCCTGCTCTTGGCCTGTCGGAAGCTTGTAGGCGACGCCCCAAACGCACCCCTGCAGAAGAGGTTTCTCATAAAAACCTGACATATTGAGAAGCTGTTTAACACTTTTAAGAGCTGCTTTTCACTCACCTCAGGATCTTTAACCAAAGTAACAACACGACCAGGCTGCAAAGAAAACAAAAAGAATCATCAGTTTTTATCCAACCATTAACTACAGATACAACTCAATGTATAAAATAAATATTATAATAATATATAATAATAATAATAATATTTTTATCATTTTAAGTAATATCATTTAAAAGGCGAAACCTAATATATTATAGATTTATTATTACAAATAGTATAGCAATTTCAACTCAGGTTTCAGTTTGTTTTGATGATTTTGGCTGACAGGTTATTTAAAAAAAAAACTTTTTTTCTTAAAAAGCTTGTGTATTAAGATTAGGGCTGTAACTAATGATTTTTTTGCAAATCAATTCATCTGTTTATTTTTCTGATTAATCGAATAGCCAAAGGTTCCTTAAAGAATACTTTTTGCAAAATTAAGCCACTTCAGGAGTGCAGGATAGAGCATACTGGTAGATGAAAAACATTTTTTTTTTTTTTTATGTTAACTGCAAATTTGTTATTTATTTAATACAATCTTGGTATAATTACCGCTCTAAGTGGGTTGCTCTGTCAGCTAAATACATGTCTTAGAGTCTCTATACTCTAGTTAACAATTAATCGATTACTAAATTAGTTGAGGATTATTTCAATAATCTATTAATCTGATTATATCAGCCTTAATTGAGATACAAATATGTGATGACCTACACTATGAGGAAAGCCTCAGAGGATCAACAGTATTGCATCAAACTACTTTAATGGGGAGATGAGTGGAAGGAAAAAATGTTGTAGGGGAATGCACACAACCACCCCCCCAAAAAAATAAGAGTACTGTTTATATGATTAAATAACATATTTTGTTCACATTTTATGCTGCATCTGCTTGTAGTGCAAATTTGAAAAAAGAGAATGAATCCATAAGCTTAAAAAAAACAGCTATGAAGGGTCCCCTAGACATCCACAGTCACCCTGCAGGTGTGTCAAAAGACGCAAGTCATGGTGAGCCGGTATTAGACTGGGTTAGGTAAGGACAAGTCAGCAGGTTATGTAAAATGCAGACAACATTCCTGTGATATGAGCTGTCATTTTTCTGACCCTATTGATGCCCATAAACAGTCTAATATCCAGAGACCCATCTCATTAGACCTGAAGGGTGGAGAAGGTCTTTTATCTGCCTTCCAGCTGAGTTTGGCAGGGCTTCTTTTTTTCTCTTCAGCAGAAGAAAATGACCTGATCGTCATAGAGCACATAACTAAGCATATAAGAAAACACACAAAAAAAATTATTAGCTTGTAAGAATCCTGTTGCATGTATCATTTTTGGTCCTGTTTAAGTGCCTAAAATGCTTTAAACTTTTACCAACATGCACACTGCTTTAATCTTTTTGTTTCCATCGATGACGGGTGTCTCCATAATGAGTTCACCAACAGCTGTTGCATCATAATCTGTGACCTGTCATATATTGCAACCCTATGGATCTTACATGTATTTCATCATAGATTACTAAACTTTGGGTTTAATTATAGGTTTTGTGATGCATGGGTCACAAAACATGAAAGTTCACAGAATAAGGTATAAAACCAAAACCATATGGGGTCTTTCATGGAAATGTGCTTCAGAAAATGATGAAACCACGATAAAAACTAAGAACTAGAAAATTATTATCAGAATTTCATACGAATCTCAGTTGTTAATGTGTTGAATGAATAAACGCTTCATTAAGGTTTAGTTTCGAATTATTTATGAAGTATTTTGGATATTTAGTTAGAACTGAAGATGGTTGGCGGGATAATCTCTAACTTCATCGTGGCCTTTTCCCTTTTCTCATGAACTATGACTGAAGTAGCCGAAATCACCCACCTTTCCCGGGACTCCGCGGTGGTCGGTGCTGCCCTGCCAGAACCGGCGGCTGAAGCCCTTTATGTAACCGACTCTCTTCTCCTCATATGGGAAGTCCACTTTCCAGATCAGGGACCCATAACCGAAGACCCACATGGTGACACAATCAGGTAACTGTGCGTCAATGTCAACTGGACGGACTGGTACCGGTTTAATTTAAACATCTACGGCTTACAACGACGGTCCAACCTTTATAAAAGCCGGCATGTTTACCTTCCGCTTAACTACAGTGTAACCCAGGAACCAACAGTCAAACTAACCAGATAAAGCACCTATATCTACTTCCGGTTTGTACCTTTCGCTATAAATGCAGCTTATAAAAAGATGTCGCGAATTGCTCTATATAAATTTAACCTAACATTGGGATGTTATTAAAAGCGTTGTTTTCTTTCTCAGGGATTAAACGTGTCACGCTCGCTCATTATTTATTGGTGATTTTTTTTTCGAGCGCTTAGCTTTTATTTTGAAGGGGAAAACTTTATCCCGGATGTCTTTAACCCTTTTAGTTTGAAACTCTTAAAGAAAAAAAAAACAACAACTAAAGAACATCTTCTTAGGGAAGAGGATTAGGGCCACTGAAAAACAAAACCAAAAAAGTTAACAAATTTTTAAATTTTATTTCAGTTTAATATTGGGAAAAAAGTCAGAATTATGAGATTAAATTCAGAATTCTGACTTTTTTCCCATATTAAAGTGAATAAAATGTAAAAGTCAGTTTACTTTTTTTATTTTTTAAGTGGCCCTAATCCTTTTCCGTACATTTCTGCAGTAGGTCATTTGAGATTTTGTTTTAATGAAATGTAGCATCTCAGATTTTAAGTGTAAAAGGCCATGTGATGGATGTTTGAGAATCGCATAGTTAAAATGAACATTAACATAAAAAAATAGAGAAAAAACTGAAAAAAAAAACTGTAGATTATCTGGTTTGAAAAAAGTCAGATTTGGTCCTTTGGCTATGTATTCAATAAGAAAAATAAATTATAAAATGTTTATTGGCACCCATGGAGAAGCGATGTACATAACTCTTAATAATTGTTCTCAGGGATATTTGAGTTTTCATCTTCCTCCATGCATATGAGCAGGATGATTGTGTCCAGGTGTATTGGTCACTTTGTAGGTTATTTTGAATTTCCTATTGCTCTGTGTGTAGATATGAGATGGTCCAACCAGTTTTTTAAGAGCAACACATCTGATTTCTTTGCATAAGTGGCCTTAGGCAAACACCACTGAGTCCGTTTATACTTTTTTTATATATATCATTCATGTTTGTCTTTGCATTCTCCATTTAAAATAACATCTTTAGCCAGAAATTAATGAGCAAACTAAACTGAATATTACTAAATGCTTTTACACGACAATCATATAATATCTTGAGTCATTTTCAGTTAAATACCAAATAATTTGCTATTTAAAAACAGTCTCTGCAAAGTTTTCACACCCCTTTAACACTAAAGTTAATGAATAAAATAAACTGATAACAAATATTGTAAAAGCCTCTTACTTTTTGATTATGGGGACAAAATGCTTTTTAAGCAACTCAAAATGACTGAGAATAGCTTCAGATTGTATAATTTTTACATTTAAGTTATAACTGTCTGCCAGCATGAGTAGTCTTAAAATTTGTAAACTGTAGGGTAATTAAAAAAAAAGAAAGAAAGAAATGCAAATTTATTGGTCCAGCATACTAAATTGGATTTCATTGTCTATAGTCTTTTCCATATTTATTTTATTTTTTTTTTTATGGATACATATTCACACATAAAATATAATGTATCAATGTGAAAATAACAGCAGTAGTGTTAATGTTGCTTTGGCAGACGTCCCATTAGAGTCTCCTTGACTCTTCTGCTTTTAACTGAGTGATAAACTTACAAACTGATGCAGAGATCAGAAATATTTTGGACCTTCATTTGGATGAACCTTTTCTTTACCAGCAGTAAACATCTGCAGTACTGCTTGAAGGATGACACACAGAGAGAGCTTTTTTTTTACCTGACAGCAGGGGGTGCTAAGTTTCTGTTTCCGACATGTCATGTGGTCTGCCAAATAAAATTCTGTTCATGCCTGCATGTGTGCACCGATTCAGAACCAAATCAAGTGAACAGCACCAGTCTGGCTTGTAAGAAAGGCTTCATGAATAGCGGCTCTGCTCATTCTACTGCTTCTGACACAGGACAGTCTGCAAACCTGTTTTTTTTGTTGTTGTTTTTTTTCTTTCATGTAACCTGCCAGTGTTGGGTTGTGGCTCAAATCCCCAGCCAGACTGGAGGATGCTGCAAAGGGAGATTTCTGCCTTACAGAAACACTTGTTCAAGCCTTTGAATGCAGAGCCGTAGAACACAAAGTGTCAGTTTTACAGAGACTGGCTATAAGCGTGACGTTCTTACTGAAATGAGAGCAGTAAATGACTGGGAAAAAAATGTAAATCTAAATAAGTAATTTTTTTTCTTAAAATTAGTACATTTTGTCTCGAATTGAGGAGGTAAGTGAGTCCTTTTGCCAATGGAACAAGAGGATTTACATTTAAAATAAGAAAAAATGGTTGCATTTTCTTATTTCAAGTGCATATTATCCAATTATCCTATTTTAAGAGTAAAAGGACTAATTTCTTTGGCAAATCATCTTATTTACCTACTCAAATTAAGGCTAAATTAACTTAATCTAAGGAGTGGTGTCTTATTTCTAAATAATTTTTGCAGTTTGCACATGGGCTCTTTGGTTTTTCCTCCACTCTCTTAATCCTTCCACTTCTTATCCTTTGTTTAAAATGTTCTCAAAACACTGTTTTTAAAAAAATACCTCTAAGTTCTCCAAAAATGAATGGCTAATATAGTTCCATGGTCGACAGGCTTTATGGATGGATGGTTGGATGGCAACAAATCCAGTAAAAACAGAGGAAAAACATAAAAAACGGAGGAATTACGAAAAACAAGAGGGGATGTAGGACACAATTAAATAGTTAAAATAGAAGCAGAGAAAGAAAAGAAGGTAGGACACCATAGAGGAGAGGGATAGAAAACAATACGACACCCATATACACTCGTTCAGTAGAGGGACCATCATAGGAAAGAATGGCAGAAGAAAGGACAGTAAGACAATGAAGGAATAAGAGGTAAACAAAGAAGGATGGACACGCAAGGAAAGAACAGGGAACACAATAAACAGAAAGTGACAAAAATAGAGGGAGAAAAGTAAGCCTTTAAGGAAATATACAGGAAGCGCAGATGAAAGGAGAAAGAATAGTCAAATACAAATATCATTACATGCTCTGTTTCAGTTTGCATTTTTTTTCAAAGACTATAGTAGGAAAGTAGCATAGTAGTAGAATAGTACCAATATGCTGTACAGATTACAGGCAATAAAACAAAAGTCAAAATACATAATGATATATAAAACAAAAAAAACCAACATCTCAGATGGTGGCAAAAGCCGAGGAGAAGAGATGGGTTTTGAGAAGTTATTTAAAAGCCAACAGGGAAGCTGCTCGTCTGATGCCCAAAGACCAATATTGTTATAATGTTCCACATTTTAGGAGCAGCAGCAAAGAAGACACAATCCCCCCGAAGCTTCCATTTGGTGTCTGAGGAAGAGCATGGCCAACACCATGAAATAAAAGAACCTCAAATTAATCCTAAAATGTACGGGCAATACATTTATTTAAAGAATAAACACCATGATTTAATTTCTAGTTGCTGGGATTCTGTGTGTTTGTATTTGCAGCTTCCATCTGCAATGGTCAGCAAAGTGTCCATATATAAATAGATTTATAGAGTTAAGGAGATGCAGCACTTCTATTTTTAACATTGTCTGTCCATTGCTGTAAAAAGGATCATAATACTATATTAATGCAACAGAGGGATGAACAAGGCCAAAGATGTAGGGTGGAAATGAAATTAAAAAAAATATTCTGCCATTTATATTTTCCTTATAAAGATATTTGTTCAGAAAGCCAACAATTTTAACAAGGTTGTCAATGCTTTTGAAAGATTATTTAAAGAAAGTTATTTGTCTAGTAATTTCATTCAAAAGGCAAAATATTTGAATTTAAGTTTTATTTATTGAAATGAGTCCAGATGTATTTCATTTAGATTATTATTATCTTTTATGTTTAAAAAAAAAAAAAAAGTTTTCCAGATGTGGCTTTTGATATACTTGTCTGTGCTATTTGTAATTATTCAAAACAATCTATGATGACTTACAAAAGCTTTATTTTGTTTTGTTTTTTTGGCCCTGTTACCTACTAGAAAAACAAAATAAAAAGAATTATTATTTCCTGTTGTTTTATCAGATTCTCAGCAGTAACTGCAAACAACCCAGATAGTCAGAGAAAAGCAAACATTCTTGTTCCACATCACTTTTTTGTGTCTGTTTTTTATGATGAAGAAAAATGTAGTTTGTTTTCTCTTCATCCTACTTTGGATTTACACGGTAAATATTGTATCTTATGTTTAGAAGATGCCAAAGATGGTACAATAAATTGTAAGTGAAATCTAGGAGTGAGAAAACAGAGGAAAAAGAGTGTAACATACACTATATTGCCAAAAGTATTTGCTCACCCATCCAAATTATTGGAATCAGGTGTTCCAATCACTTCCATGGCCACAGGTGTATAAATTCAAGCACCTAGGCATGCAGACTGTTTTTACAAACATTTGTGAAAGAATGGGTCGCTCTCAGGAGCTCAGTGAATTCCAGCGTGGAACTGTGATAGGATGCCACCTGTGCAACAAATCCAGTCGTGAAATTTCCTCGCTCCTAAATATTCCACAGTCAACTGTCAGCTGTATTATAAGAAAATGGAAGTGTTTGGGAACGACAGCAACTCAGCCACGAAGTGGTAGGCCACGTAAACTGACGGAGCGGGGTCAGCGGATGCTGACGCGCATAGTGCGAAGAGGTCGCCAACTTTCTGCAGAGTCAATCACTACAGACCTCCAAACTTCATGTGGCCTTCAGATTAGCTCAAGAACAGTGCGCAGAGAGCTTCATGGAATGGGTTTCCATGGTCGAGCAGCTGCATCCAAGCCATACATCACCAAGTGCAATGCAAAGCGTCGGATGCGGTGGTGTAAAGCACGCCGCCACTGGACTCTAGAGCAGTGGAGACGCGTTCTCTGGAGTGACGAATCGCGCTTCTCCATCTGGCAATCTGATGGACGGGTCTGGGTTTGGCGGTTGCCAGGAGAACGGTACTTGTCTGACTGCATTGTGCCAAGTGTAAAGTTTGGTGGAGGGGGGATTATGGTGTGGGGTTGTTTTTCAGG